GAAAGGCTGACTGACAACGAACACAAAACAGAAGAAATCGAAAAAGTTAAAAAAGCTCTTCAACAAAATGGTTTCTCGGATAACAACATCAAGAGAGCATTAAGACCACGCCACAATAGAGAACGGACCGAAGAAGATAAACCAGTTGCCAAAGCACTCCTTCCATATATAAAAGGAACCACTGACAAAATCAGCAAAGTACTGAAGAAACATAAAATTGAAACTGTCTTCAATACCGACAGGAAAATTGGCAACATTCTTCCATCAGCGAAGACGAAGATTCCACTCGAAGGTCAAGGCGTTTACCAGATTCCCTGTGGCGACTGCGAAAAATCATACATAGGACAAACAAATAGAAGAGTTCAAACACGAAGAGAGGAACACAGAAATGCTGTAGAAAAGAATCAGGCAACCTCTTCTTTGGCGCAACATGCGAAAAACACCGGACATAAAATCAATTTCGAAGAAACAAGAATCATTGCCAACATAGAACATAAAACCAAAAGAATTATCAGAGAAGCCATAGAAATCGAAAAACATACAAAAAATCTAAATACACGTGACGATACACAAAGGCTCCCAATAGCTTGGAAACCGATTCTCGCAAACAAAATCATCAGAGCGCGACGCAACGCTTCACCAAGCATGACATCTGACGCACCAACGAGCAGCGAACCGAGGCGAAAACCAGTGAAGGAGAACGCGAAAATAATATATAAAGCAGCAGCAGAGCAGGTAAACACCAGTTCACAACGTATTACACGAAGTAGAACAAAGAAGACTTGAAAATGGCAAGTGTGATCTTGCCGAAACGTCGTCCAGAACACGATTCTATCCAGAATCAAGAAAACCATACGCGGAGAGGAACCCGGAAACATCTTGACAACACATATAATATCCGCGGAAATCTGAAGTTCAATATATATATATATACATATATATATATATTGAACTATAGTTTTCGAAAGTTTTATCACTTTTTGTTTATAATTGACATTTTTACAGCAACTTTAAAAAATTGACGTTTTATACAGTTTTTTCAATCTCACGGCTTTGTTATTGCAAATTTCGTAATCGGACCACCGCCATTTTGTAGCTATTTTTATTACGAACAAAATCATGTCCTAAGCATTTTTTTGTACAAAGTCATCCCACTGAGTTATTTAAAGAAAACTACTAAAAAAAATTTTTTTCAGGATTAAATTGTTAATAACTTTTTTTCCTGATAAAATACTTTGTCAGCAAATTAGCCTGTTATTGTACTCATCATTTAAAGTAGACCTGTGTAGTTATTTCCGGGTTATCAAGGTTTGACACACACCCAACCTCTACCAACTGGACTACCAACCCGATGGGTGAAAAGCAAATGCTGTTCCAGGTTGCGCTCCCTTTTTCAACAGTTAGCTAGCATTTTTTCGTGGAAAAATCATTAACGGTGAAACAAAACCTCCGTCTGCGATCATATAACACATAACACAACAGTGACAGACGCACAATATGGCTGATTTTTTTATAAGTTCTTCAAAGTGTGCAGATTAATATAAGAAAAAGTTCGTTGGTCTATCATTCTCCCAAAGTCCAAAAAATTTTGANTTATTGAAACAAAACCTCCGTCTGCGATCATATAACACATAACACAACAGTGACAGACGCACAATATGGCTGATTTTTTTATAAGTTCTTCAAAGTGTGCAGATTAATATAAGAAAAAGTTCGTTGGTCTATCATTCTCCCAAAGTCCAAAAAATTTTGAAAAACATTTTGATTTTCGAAATTCTTTAATATTTTGGACTGGGATCAAGATACAGAAAAATAAAAAATAATACCTTGTAGAAGTTTTTTCCAACAAAAAAAATACATACTTTGTACTTTTTTCGTCCGAGCTATGGTTTGTATGGAAAAAAATATTAATGCCATGAAGTCATCTTCCGCGGGCAAACAAAAGAATAAATTCACTATTCAAACGTAAGAATTGTCAAATTTCACTCAAATATTGAATACATTAATATGTAGAAATGAATATTCGATCTTAATTCAATGCAAAAAAATAAAAAATAAAAGAAATAAAAAATTTCAAAAAATTTTCAAAATTTTCGAAAAAAAAAATCCAAAATTTTTATTTTTTAGATTTTCAAATATACTCAAAGTAGAAAATAGTAAATACAAGATAATATTTACATAATTTTAATACAAAATCATAGGAAAAAAATTAAATACAAAACTACATAGAATCATTGTTTTCACATATACTATGTCCTACCTGGATACTTTCATACCTGTTGAGTATTTACATTCTACTCTTTGAATATTATATGTTCATATTGTAACAGTATCAAATTTTATATTAAACGATCAAAGGAGATTTACACCGGGCACCAAAAAAATTTTTTCTTATAATATAAAAAAAATCATTAAAAGTGAAAAACGTTCGTAACCAAATGAATTTGTGCTTAGAGGTTTTTAATCTGTGTAATTCCCCTAACATTTAAAAAAACGTCTCGTTCAAATTAGTTTAGTTTTAATAAAGTTCCAGAGGCTATATATTTTGCCGTAAACTCACGATTCCTAAAATTTTTAAAATAATTGTTTAGTTTAGTGTTTATTGACCATGTTAAATTGCATACAATCTTTATGGCAAGTCATATACAAAAACAAAAAATGTATAGATATACACGAAAAAAATAAATTAATAAAAAACATATCACAATAAATATTACAAGCAATAGAACACAAACGAGAGAAAAGATATTATATAAACGTCTAAGAAGGAGCGATAAGACCATTACCATAATGTATGCATATCAGAAAATTTTTAAAATTCATGAACTGAGTAGAAGCAATGCGTAGCGAGAAATGATTTTATTTTCTGTTTAAAATCACGAGTATTCAAGGACTTTAAACTAGTCGGCACAATATTATATAAATGAATATCTTAGGAATTTTTCTTTGATTTAGTCAGTCTACAACGTGGAATCATAAAATTGTCCGCAGATCTGGTCCCATAATTATGACATTGAGAGTGTGTAACATAGAGATGTTTCTGAGAATGAATTTCAAGGAGAGTGGCATATATGTAAAGACATGGTAACTGTAGAATTTTAAGTTTTTTAAAAAGCGGTCGACAGTGTTCAGTATAGCTAGAATTAGTCATTAACCGTACAGCTTTCTTTTGCAACTTAAATATTTTATCGGACGTTGTGCTGTTTCCCCAAAGTATTATAGCATAAGTCAAATGAGAGTGAAAAAGTGAATAATAACACATCATCAAACAGTCGTCGCTCAAAAAGTGCTTCAATCTTCGAATTAAAAACAAGGTACTAGATAGTTTAGTTCCCAGTTTGTCAATATGGGCATTCCACTAAGGGAATCATCAAGAATCACACCGAGTACCTTTGTAGATTTGCCTTCCGTTATATTCTTACGAGTTGAAAATATTAAATTGTACGTTTTACTGTCATTCAATTTTAGATTATTAGCTGAAAACCATTTCCGTGCTTTTTCAATCATTTCATCGGATAACAAGGAAAGACCGGCCAAATTATAGGCAGACGTAAAGATGGTTGTATCATCGGCAAATAACGTGCTACGAAAAGGTAATAGGAATGGAAACACATCGTTAACATAAATAATAAAAAGCAAGGGCCCCAAAACAGAGCCCTGTGGAACTTCGTGATGCATGTATTCGTGGCCTGAATAAGAATTGTTAAACCAAACAATTTGTCTACGATTACTTAGGTACGACTGAATTAGTTTTAACGGTACACCCCGAATGCCATAGAAAGATTGCAAGGGTCGTATTTCGTCATTAGATAAAACCCATTACCCGGAAATTTTATTTGTGAAAGAGGTCCCCTAAATAACAATTCCCGATCTTGAAACATTTTTCGAACTATCCTTATGTTTAATTATATTTGTCGTTGAGACGCTCGGTTTTCGATTCGAATATATGCCTAATTTTTTATTCGATCTTTTATTTGAAAAAAAAATAACCATACCATTGAAAATGAGCTATCACAATTATTAATTTAATACTTTATAACTATGCAACAGTTTATAATGTAGAGCGCAGAGCTTCAAAAAATAGGCTCTCACGCGACTAGCCGAGCATCGCGCGCGCGGAATGCATACCTGGGACCTTATTCTCGAATTATAGGGAGTAGAAGGAACAAGAGAAAGGGGGCGTGTCTCTACTAAAACTCATTAATCGGTATTCTTGAATGGTGTTCTATTGAGTAATGATAGAATTGTTCCCTATTTCTTCTACTGATATTTTCGAGGGAACAGGCAGGCAACCTAACCCTATATTTTTTGACATGTTTCACAATTCGCAATCTGTCGTAATATCTCAAGTAACTGTTTTGTGGTGAAATTTGAGGAAACGTTCATATAATTTTTGTTTACTTGAAGGGTTGTACAATACACGAATAAAATAATAATAAAATAAAATGGATCTGCCTAATATAGTATTAAAATATTTGTAAGTTCTTCCAGTTAACCCTCGTTTTCTCTCTAGTGTAGCTGAGTGTTAACTTTCTAGTATACATTTGTATTTTCTCCTCAATATATTCTATTAGAAGTTCTTTTTCTTCTTACTTACTGGATTTAGCTTCGGTTTTTTATTAATTTCCATTTTCTTTCCTTTTTAGGCTGCACCTGACACTGACAGACAAATAACGATAACTCTAAAGTAGCACTTATTCATCACTAGTTTTTATTCTACCGCCTATTTACTGCTTTCTGATTGGTCGGTACATTTGACAACATTGTTCCTCGTTCCTCACTTTCATGGCTCGATCCCTTTGTGTCGAGAATGCAGTATGAATTTTCTGATAGAACAGTAGTAGAGCGAAATGAGGGAACGTTCCCCAGGGAGCATTCTATTCTCTCACCGTCAAGAATCGAACTCCTGGTTTATTGAATTTTTTCCGGCCAAATCATATTTCGGACGAAAAAGTAGAGAATATCTTTTTTGTTGGAAAAAGCTTCTCCTACAAGGTGGTATTTTTTTATTTTTCTCCATCTTCATCCCAGTCCAAAATATTAAAGAATGTCGAAAATCAAAATGTTTTTCAAATTTTTTTTGGACTTTGGGAAATCAATAGACCAATGGACTTTTTCTTATATTAATCTGCATACTTAGAAGTACTTATAAAAAAAATCAGCCATATTGCTAGTTACTTGTTTCTGTGGCCTCCACCGACTGGACTATGATTCATTTTCACATTTGCTAGGTGAAAAAATAATTAAATAATCACAAGTTTCAAGAAATGGGTGTCAAACTTCTAAAAATAGGTCTCAAAATGATGCAAACATTATTTATGCAGTATTCTTTTATAGTAGGAGAATAATATGGAATATTAGTCGCCACAAACATTTGTTGGTTAATTTTAAATAAAAAATAAAATAGTTCTTACATTAAGAGTCTAAACAACATAATGTTGCACCCTTTTACTTATTTTTGCTAACAGAGACATTTCTTAAAATACCTACTTAATAAGAGCCAGAAACAAAATATAAAAGTACTTAAAAATTATGCATACCACTTAATCGAGATAATCAACAATATTTGAAATTGAGGTTAGGTTGTTCTCCGAAGATTTCTACTAGGCAATGGCACTGCGGTTTTAACCCAAGTTACATATTTACACTATTTTACGGTAGATGGCTCCATTACTTTTTTAAGGGTGGTATTCCACAATACCCGACCTATTCCATAATACCCTCCGCTACTCTACTCGACAGAACACCCCTCTACTCATATCAGAGTAGGAAGAACATAAAATGTACAAACAGATACCGATGCTCAGTTTGGACAGATAACAAATAGGTACGTTTATTTAATTGTAATCAAGAATTGATTTTAGTTTATGTTAGGTGTACTTATATGACATATATAGTTTAGCAAGCTAATTCAAATATTATTCAATGCATAAAAAATTTATTTAGTTAACAAATAGTTGAGTGAACATGTATCAATAAACAGTGTTATTATTTCAACAAAATTGGAGGTGGATTCGTTTTAACAAAAAATTGTGTCGATTTTGAGTGAAAATTTACTAATTTTTTTTTACGGTGTATGAATGAACAGTGACTAATATTTGCCCTTGGTGGACAAAATAACCTCTTATATTTCTTTGGCTAGAAAAATATTGACTTCATCAAATTTTCTTTATAAAAATTTTAATTTCAGACGTGTTCTCGTCAAACGGTTTCGGAATCGCCACCATAAGGAGACTGAAGGACAGCTATAACTTAGTGAGGACGTTTTCTACTTACGATTATTCTCAGTGTACATGCCTTCTTATACTAAGCACTATGTATTCTCAAATGATAGAACATTGTAAGGGAGCAGGTAAGTAAGTATCATGTATTGGCAGATACGATAACCATTCACACATACCTACGGTTTCATTTGAAGTGTTTTAATGAAGGTGGCATAAATGAAGAAACGTTTTCCTCGTCTAAATTTAAAAATATTTTCTTATACAAACAATTGCCCTTGAAACCTTGTTTTTGAGATACAAGCTGCTGAATGGAAAAAGTATTGTTTTAATATCATGTGACCAAATTGCACCGACATTCTGTGTGCAAACCATTAATAAAATAGCATTCTATGTGAAAAAATTAAGTCTCTGCTCAAACTTTAACATTACCATGTACTTACATACTCCAGTGTCTTTTGTACATAAAAGAAAATGAAGAATCGTTTACTGTCCGTAGCCAAATCCACCTTCATAATACTAGAAATAAAAATGACATAAACTTAAACTTTCATCGCTTAAGTAAAACACGTAATGGCACATCATATCTGGGCATCCAGTTTTTTAATGCATTACCAGCTCATAGTAGGTCAGTACGTCATCTCAATCCTAGTTTATTTAAAAGAAAAATAAAACACTTTCTATTAACCAACGCATTTTATACTACGCAAGAATTTTTAAAAAGTGATCTCACCCTAATATGACTATCTTAGACGTAGCTTTGCACACTTCAGTTGCATTGTTTCAGTTTTTTTTTTATTACATTACTCATAATCTTATTTTAACATGTATCGTTTAATGTTTGTTTGTTTTGTTGTCCTCTTACAAACATTTTATTTTAACATTTGACAACCATTTATTGCTTGTACTTGTATTGTTTTATTACCATTTTCTTTGTTTTTTAAATTATGAACTAGTTACGTGTCAACACTGTTATACGCGTGTGTACTGTGCTGTATATGTATTTCACTATTATTTTTTTTTGACGTGTGTAAACACTTGTTGTGTACTAACACTAATAAATATCTATCTATCTATAGACGTAGAAGTGAGTTATATTTTTCCTCATAAATTATATTATATGGTTGATGTCTGTTCGAAGAACTGTAGAACCTTTAGGAATCGTTAAAATAAAAAATGTTATTCAACTTGTGATGAGGTGTACATGTACAATCCTTAAAGTTTGTCGCAACATCGCTGTTACGCACTGTGTAAATGATGAACCAAATCCTATATGGTACTCTTAAAACAAGTTAAAATCTAAATGATCTTTTAGGCCTTGTTGAGAAAATCATGGAAGCAACCATTGAATATTCATACGTCTGCATGGAAACAAAAAACGCACCTCAAGCTATTAAAGTTGTGGAAGAGGCTTTGGAACTTTTGGAGGTAAAGGGTAGCGTTTATAAGTTCTCATTTTTTCCATTAAAAGAATTAAGTAATTTTAAGAAACATTTTGCATTGTAATGATGATTTAACAAAAACAAATTTCCTTTGGCAACCAATAACGGAATTTTATTTTTAGGGACCAATGAAAGATCAAATCGAACTAGAATGGATGGTCGCTCTGAAAAGAGGAAAGCTATTTACTCTTATAGGTCGAGCCAGAATGGCTTTAGAAGATGGTGAAGCTTATAATTATCTTATGGATGCTTTGAACTGTTACGGTACATCCACAATTAAAAATAAGTTTCTTGAAATTCAGTAGGTGTTAAAAAGAATAATTTTCGAAACTGGTTTATTTAATATTTTAAGCCTGTAAAAATTTTCTAATATTGGGTATCCCAAAATTCACGCAAGATTTTAATTTTGTGCCATTTATACGGTAAAGTATTGCCAACGAAGAAAAAAAGACAGCGTGACAGTTGACAGTTTAAGGTTATTAAAAATGGAGCGCCACAAGAAAGAACGATGCTTTCCATTGTTGAGCAATATTTTAACAATAATAGTGCACAATTTCCATGCAAAATATGGTCGGAATAGTGATTTAACTTCATCAAGTGATTAATTGAAAAAATCAGGGAGACTGAATCAATTAGTGATCTTAAACACTCTAGCCGTCCTTCAACAAATCGATCAGTACAAAACATCTTACCACTTCGGAGAGTGTTGCTGAGAGTCCAGGACATCAATTCGGCACCGTGGGTGGTCATGAATTGAACATTTCGAGAAGCTCTCTACAGCATATACTCACAAAAAATTTGCATCTTCATGCTTACAAAATTCAATTGACTCAAGAACTGAAGGATGGAACAACAAGTTAATACTAATTTTTCGAACAAAATCATTCTTCGGCGATGATGTTCATTTCCATCTTGATGTTTCGCTAATTGCCAAAACTGTTGTATTTAGGGTTCAAAAATTCCACGATAAACAAATGCATCCACAACGTGTGATAGTTTGGTGCGGATTTTGGGCTGCAGCATTCTTCTTCGAAAATGCGGCTGGTCAAGCAATAATAGGTGCTTGCTATCGCGACATGATAATCCAGTTTTTTGTGCCTAAATTGCAATGACGATATACGATATGTGGTTTCAACAAGACGGTGCCATATACCATACAGGCCGAGAAACAGTTCAATTAATGCATGAGTCATTTGCTGGTCGTGTAATTTCCCGTTTTGATGAACAGAATTGGCCGCCCAGATCAAGCGAGTTAACACCGTTGGACATTTTCTCTTTGGAGTTTTTTGAAGACTAATGTTTATGTCAACAAGCTCACGACCATCCACGCCTTGAAGGAGGAAATTGAGTGCTGTATCAACGAAATTCTACCGCATTTATGCAAAACGGTCATAAAATTTCGACAAAACAATGCGTATAATACTGTATACTTTATGAATCAATAAAAAATTAAAATTTTTAATTAAAAACCTGTGTTTTCTATCAAAATTATTTCTTGCCTGAATTTTGGGACACTCTTTACTTCATTTTGAACTAAATTCAAGACAAATATATATATATATATTTACTTAATTTATAAGATATTAAGCTGATTGAAATAAATTGAAAACGACAAAAAACAGTCTTATCAAATGAAACCAAAGTAATATTTATTAATTCCACTTGCAAGAATGCTACTTGAGGAAGCAATCTTAAAATAAAATGCAGAAATATAGACTATCCTATCTATCATGGCTATTTTTGATTGTGGTGTTGAAGGGTTGTATTATTTGATGAATTCAGTATGTTAGGTGTTTTTCAAATAATATTTAGATATATTATCCCTAAAAAACTCACCCCCACTTAAAGCTACTCCCAGTATACAGTTATTAAATATTCAGTAGTAAGTTTGAATTAGTTTTATTGTTAGTATGGAAATTCAATAATTTTAATAATTCGTCATTATTTAGGAATAAAGTTCCCTACATCAAATATAGGAAAGAGTGTTCTGAAAAATCACCTCAAACTGAAACAAGCCCTGAAACTCTATGTATTCCCACCTGCGTTCAGCCGAAGTTTTGACGAAGACGTAGCTGAATATTGCAATAATGTTTCAGAATGCCTGCATTTGCTTTGCATTTACTTTTCTGTAAGTATTACTAATAAAAAAATACTCGACAAAACTAAATGTACAACAGTATATTAACTTACTTTTAAGAAAGTTAAAATATTCCATTTTGAGGTTGGAATTAATGAATTACGTTTCACCATTTTGTTTTTTGTTTTGTTTTTTGTAAGAATAATTCTTTCTACATTTTTTCTTGATTTTGATTCAAGTTTAAAATCGAATTTTGACAATATTCCGAAAACCATACCAAGCAGAACAGAAAATTTCAGTAATTTTATATATTGAGAATTTTAAAAATAATATTAATTTCGTATTTCGTGGCTGGGAGCGCTAATTATATCTTACTAATGTATTTATACTTTCACACATATTCAGGCTGTTCCAGAAAACAGAAACGGCAATCGCAGATTCCTGAAGTAAAAACAATTGAAGTTAAGGGAGATTTTGTAGGATGTTTTTTTAAGATTTTTAATGAAACCGGAAAAAACACAATGTTGGAATTTTAATATTATATTTATTAATATTGGATGTGTGGCTATGGTGTGAACTAGAATCTAATGAAAATATTGAATTTGCATATTTGTCGAAGTTTTGAAAAAAGTACAATTTTCGTCATTTTTTTTCGACACTTCAATTTAAAAAAAAACTGTATATATGTAATTATTCTAGTTCAGGCGAAAACTAGACGTTTAGAGAAGATGTAAATAAATCAATTTTTTGACCCGACAAAGTAGAAGACCCTCTTAAGTCAACTACCTTCGTCCAAATATTACTCGGTTAAAAGTTCCAGGGGTGTTAAAATATATTTAAAATGTTCAGAATTCGTACAGATCAGTTGAATGTTAATGTACGTTTCCTGTCACTTGTATACATTTTGTAAAGATTAACGTTTGTTTACTTATATAGTAAAGACCTTCTCCATACTCTACTTTAATTCCTCATAATATTTCAATTTTCTACTTCTGTGTAACCCATTTTAATTAAATAATAATACAAACTGCCAATCAATAGCAATGTTGTTATGCCATTACTACCTATCACTATCACAACCTACCATATAACATTGTCCATTAGTAATTAGGCCTCTCACGGCCTAATTAGTGAGATTTAGTTAGAATATCTATAGGTACGCATTTTGGACCATATCAATGTCCGATATGTCAAAATACAGGGTGTTTCAGGATTAAGTCGACAAACTTTAAGAAGATATTCCTCATAAAAAAATAAGAAAAAAAAATTTTTCCAAAAAACCCTCAATTTCCAAAAAAAAGGCCGTAAAAAATTAAAAAAAAAAATCGAATGAAGAAGGCTATTTAAGCCAAATTTGGCATGACACATCTTCTTATAAGACACCATTTTTCCATAGAAGTAGAAGTCCCGCAAGCAACCAGTGGCGGAGCTATGGAGACTCAGACTCATTAAATTATAAAAAAAATCTATACGGCTCTACTGAAAATAAAAAATGATGCTGTTTTTAGATAGAACAGTTTTTTATTGACAAAAAGTGTACATTCACTTTTTTCCTAACTCTTATAGTTTCATGGCAAAATTGATTTTTCGGAAGGGTGCTTCTGGATTCTGTCGATAAACTTTAGGAAGACGTTCCTCATAAAACCTAAAAAAATATAGTACCTATTAAAATTGGTCTTAGTCTCGAGTATGTGTGAGTCAAATAAGCCTTTTTGTCTCCCCTTCCCTTGGGTTTAACCAATAGTATTAAAATTATTTAGGAGATGCTTCGTTTTTGAGATATAGGGTGTTTTTTTTAAAAAAAAAAATATGATGAAAACAATAGAAATATTTAAGTACCTAACATCTAATGTGACTATGTCGTAATGCGACAACGTAACGACCCTTGCAATACTCCTAAATTTTTTCAGGCGGTTTGTAGTCACTTCATTTACTTGTGTTGTGTACTTTTAAATAAAATAAGATGGCAAACAATACATGAAAATTTATTTGTAAATTGAAACAACCAAAAAATTACCAATTAATATTATACCTAGACAAAGCGAAAAGTGAATCAAAAATGAAATGATTTAAAAAATATTTTGTTCAAAATGGGCGCCTCCGGACTGTAGACAAGCACGACATCTTCTAATTATGGAGGTAGTGGCCGATCGACACTGAATTGGAGTTAATTCTCGACACGCTTGGACTATTCGCTGTCTTAGATCTTCTAGGGTATCAACTGGCACCTCGTAGACTTTTTGTTTAACAGCACCCCAAACGAAATAATCCATCGGTGTCAAGTCCGGTGAACGTGCGGGCCACGCTGCAGGTCCTCCACGACCAATCCATCTCCTGGGATAATTAATGTTTAACCACTCCCTAGGACCTCTACCAAAATGGGTGCTTGGTTTAACATCCAGTCACAAAACACGCGCCTGCATCGTATGTCCCTGAGGCGATAAATGTTGCACACGCTGGATATGGTATGCATGGTCTCCATCAGCCCGAAGAGTCCCCCAAATGGAACTTGACGAAATACCTAGCTCATAGCTAGGATGGATTTTCATCGAAATGGTTTAAAATAGTATTCGATTTTACTTCGTCCTGAAGTGGGGCAAAATGTACATCAGCATAAGTTACGGAAAGACCTAGTTTGTCTGAGACGACTGAATGTCGATGAAAATGTTTCCTTTGCTGGTAGTCTGCGATGAGGAAATCTTACTGCATATTCACGGCGAGCCGCCGTGGCATTTCCATCACAAAAACCATATACAAAGACCATATCAGCAAATTCAAAATATGGACGCATTATTAAACTTATTTTCATTATTAGTTTGAACGCTTTATCTAATGGATAATTTATGCAACAATTCGCAAAATAACATTTAAAACGTCTAATTAACATTTCTTGACAGCAGCCTACTCGAAAATTTTTGTTGAGGTTAATTTTAAAGTTTATCGACAGAATCCAGATGCACCCTTCCGAAAAATCAATTTTGCCATAAAACTATAAGAGTTAGGAAAAATGTTAATGTACACTTTCTGTCAGTAACAAATTGTTCTATCTAAAAACAGCATCATTTTTTATTTTCAGTAGGGTCGCATTATTATTTTTTTATAATTTTATGAGTCTGAGTCTCCATAACTCCGCCACTGGTTGCTTGCGAGACTTCTACTTCTATGGAAAAATGGTATCTTATCTTAATATAAGAAGATGTGTCTTGCCAATTTTGGCTTAAATAGCCTTTTTCATTTAGAAGTTATTTAAAAAATTCGAATTCTTTTACAAATTTTTAACGCCCTATATTTCGAAAATGAAGCGTCTCTGGAAAAAAATTTATACTTGAATTTTTTCTTATTTCTTTTTAAGAATATCTCCTTAAAGTTTGTCGACTTAATCCTGAAACACTCTGTAGTCTAGTCTAACAATTACAAGATATCTTCTAATTCTTCTAATTTTCTTAATAAAAAACCTTCTTTTCTTTTTTCAATAGTATCTCGCTTATTGTTAGAGATGGACATAACAAACCCTATATGACTATGTTCGACAGAGAACGTTCTATCCAAATATGTAAAAATATACAGGGTGTTCTATTTAAATTAATAAAGTTAACATCCGCGGCCATTTTGTTTGGATTTTATTTTCAAATATAATTTTCGAAAAATTCATAAAAACTCGTGCAACTTTTGTATTTTACATTTTTTTATAACTCTTATAACAAAAAAGTTAAAGGGGCCAAATATAGTGAATCACCCTGTACCGCTATTGGCTAGGTAAAAGACTGCTCTCCGCTTGTCCATAAACTAGGTAAACTAGATTTTCATTATTTATATATTCCAAAAATTATTTTTCATGACTGCACTTCCTTGCCGATTTTAAATGCAATTTTTTCAAAAACAGTGTCTCAGCGCTATTCAACAAGTATACCATATATGCTGAAAAATTATGAGCAACATTGTATATGACTTTTCCCCATTAATTTTCGTCTTAGAATCTAGTGGTAAAGTTTGACCCATTCTTTAACGAACTACCTGTATTGATCTCTTTTTCAGAAGATGCCTTAAATTTGTTAAACTTAAACTAATAAACCCACCACGTTCTTATCTAATCTGATAAAATGTATCTATGATTTCAGATCAGGAAACGATGGAAAGAAGCTGAACTCGCCGCAGTTTGGAGCCTGAACAAGGCCATGGAAACAGAAACCGATTTTGAAGTATTGTGTTTGGCTTATGAGTCCATGTTACGTATGGCTTCGGTCAAAGGACAACACCGTCTCTGCGTTGCTTTGGAAGTTTTCGCATTGAGTTTGTGTCATAGAAAGAACACTATAGTCGAAATTCAAGAGCTTAAAGCAGTTTCTAAATTATATTACCAAATCTTTCGTTCTAGGTAAATGATATAATCTTTTCGTAAATAGAATAATAAATTATTTTGACATGGAATCGGTAACAAAGAGGGCATGAGTTGCTTTTGAAAATATATTCTACTTAAAAACTAGCTGTTCCCTTAACATTTTTATTTATAGACCGATTTTAATCATTTTTTTATCAGATAGGTTTCGGGCAAAACGTATTTTTACTCAGAACTGGATCACAAATTTACGCTTTTTCTTCAGCACTGACATACAATGAGTTTCAAACAGTTAATAACAAATGCTTAGATATTCTATTTTTAAAGAATAACGCAGTCTGCAAACGTTAAATTAAGGGTAAACGGATACCTCGAGACATTACCTTTTGATGGGAAATCAGAAGTGTTTCTAATTATTATCAGGTGATTATTGAAGTAGCATCGTATGTCTCAATTTTAGAAGGTTCAACAGATAAGTCCAGCAATAAGTTGTAGTATGTAAAAATGTTTAGATAAAATTCTTATGCATTTTCGATTGCTAATTACATAACCCCACTGTACAAAAAAATTAATGTGTGATAGACTACACCACTCTACCCGTAAGTTTTTGGGGTCCCTGAATCCGAATCCGGTATCCGTTTGAAAAAAGTTAGCTCATGTTGAAGGTTATTTAAAGGTCATCTTGACTTTTTGATGGTATTACAAATTCCGAATTTTGAAAGGGCTAGAAATTTTACGTTCGGATACGTGCTTGACTTATTTTTTTAAGGTCATGTTCAAGTTTATTTGAAGGTCAACTCATGTTTTTTTCATAGTAATACAATTTTTGACCCCAAATTCTGAAAAGTGTTACGTTCGAAGATGTGGTTGATTTACTTTTTTTTTCTATTTCAAGATCATTTGAAAGTCAAACCCATCTCGAACTTTTCAGGTAGGTACCTTGTTAGGATACCAAGATATCGGGAAAATAACCTCTATAAAAGTTGTTTGGATCATCAGAAGCCCCTATATGGTGATTTTGGGTGTGATCTTAAAGGTCGTTTTGTTAAAAATCACAAGAATTGGCTCTAAGATGGTGAGATAATGATTTTTGTGTCAATGAGATCTGGTTTTCATGATTATGAGGACATAAAAATAGCAACGATAGATTCTTATCCGTGAATTTGGTTCTACATACTCTCAGCTTGTGGTTTTAGCGTGCGGTTTCATAGTGCGGATATTTCAAATCCTAATCCGGTCAAAATAGACCAAAAAATAGTGGTAAGTTTATAATAATTTGGTACACTATTTTACGTAAAAAACCAATAGTCCCTACGGATCCCATGCGTTCCAAAAAATGTATTCAAGGTCAAAGATCGCAAATATCGTTTTTTTGCATTTTTCTCGTAAACGATAAGTGGTATCATAAAAATAATTCGGACAAAAGTTGTAGACCATACAATTGTCTACAAAAATCGTTTCAATATTTTTTTCCTAGGAATCACCAGTCCTGAGATATCATCGTTTCAAACATCGAACATACTAATATGCACGCGTATCAATATCATCGTACGTTTAATATAAGAAACAATATTTGTCTCTTTAACTAATACATACAAACTATACGATTCTGAATGAATATACACTCAAAACACTCATGCTACTTACGTCATCGATAGAGGATATCTATTACACCGCGTTGTATGGGATCGAGAAGAAACATTTAACTTTATTTTTGATAAATACATTCAGTATGTACATAGATATTTTGGTCATAGAGTGACTATAGTGTTTGATGGTTATACTGATTATAAGAGAAACATTATAGCTGCAGAACAACGTTGTCGAACTATAAAAACATATTCATCTTCTAGTATAATGTTTGATCAATTTATGATAGTTCCAACAAACCAACAACAATTTCTTGCAAATACTCACAAGTCTGGCTTCATTTCAGTCGAAAATAATTCGCTCCAGTTTAATCATAACCAATAGTACAATTTTTTATTAAATAGAATATTATCTTATAAAATTGAATCATTATAGATCGTGGAGAATGTCTACAGGAGAAACCACGTTAAAAAAACCCGCCGAGTACACTACCTCATAGGTGATGCGGAAATGTTGCATATCATGTAGAATGCGACTTCTTCAACTTTCGAAATGGTTATATCTCAGGAAAGATGATTCGTAGGAAAAAAAGTATTGGAACGATTTTTGTAGACAATTGCATGATCTACAACTTATACAACTTATATTATTTATATTAATTTTTATGATAACACCGTTTCTGAGAAAAATGCAAAAACCGATATTTGCGACATTTGACCTTCAATACATTTTTTCGCACGCATGGGATCGGTGGGGATTTTTGACATTTTACTTATAATAGTGTACCAAAGATCCTATACCAATATTTAGCTCTACACGAATTATTGTAAATTGAAATGTCTATTTTGACCGGATTATCCTGCTATACTACTTCAGAATATGCTGGAAATGGTGACATTGCCTTGAAAGAGGTATTACCTTCAAAAGAACAAGAGTTGATCTTGAACTAACCTGGAACATAGCCTACAATATTACATTATTTATTACATAATTATTATTACACGGATATCATACACAAATTTTATTGAGCTCTCTGTTCAAGGTTTTTAAGAGGAGAAATTGATAAAGCTATGTCTATGGCTTATCCAATATGGAGAATCTCCAATGCCGCCTGTTATTCCGAATTACTTTTCATTAGCTTTCCTTTACTAGCTCACGGAACTATAATAAGGAATCAAGTAGTGGAATTTGGCAATATACTCACAGAGCTCTCATATCTAATCGATCAGGATGTCGATAAATCAGGTAAGAATATTATTTCAAAATAATTGTAATACCATAACATAAGAGTAAAATTTACACTTCGATATCTCCTTTGTTCTTAGAAATATTTTTAAATTAAATAAATATTGGATGTTTTATTTTTTCCTCAAATTTTAAATCTACTAATAGATGAATTTTCATGTCAGCAGCATATTTCATCTTTTACATTGGCGTATCAATTTCTAAATATTAGTTGAAGAACAAATGAACTTGATATCTAACAATTTCTTTTAATATTTTTACTCGTATGTACAGGTTGTATTATATCACGTATACCATTCTAATCGATACGAATATATCGTCAGTGAAGCATCCGATCTAAAAATGACTTCAATGAAAGTTGTTCAGTTCATTAGGGGAAAGCAGTTGCTGATTTCGAATTTGACCTTAACCGTGACCTTAAAGGTCAATTGAGGGTCAACTTCATAACTTTAAATGGGTGGACTCGGCAGAAAATTTTGCATAAAGATATGACCTCAGCTTTGACCTTGTATCAAAGTCAATGTCACAGCGACTTAAATGTTGCTCCGACGTTGACGCAATTATTGGCATCAATTTTGCAAAGGAAATTTTCTCGATATGCAATTAAATTAACAACGGAATCATGAAATACATAGATGTTGTAGGAACAAATAATGTGACCAATGAGTGCGGGGAAGACGAAAATAATGTCTGGTTACTCAACAAAGGCATAACCCTGCTTGAAAATTGAAAAATACATATTTTAATACATTACAAACTAATTGTAAGTGAGATTGAGTGACGGAGCAAAATTGAAAAAAAATTAAAAATATCCACTATTTGTGGATCATTGAATCACGAGGTCATTTCGTTACTATTCCTGGTTAACTCTAGATTTGATCTTCAAATGAACTTCTAATTTGACCTCTTATTACTTTACCACGTACTCGTGTGTACGTGTAGAATTTATCGGTTTTCCAGGATCCAGTCTCAGAAATACAGATACATACAAAGGAAACAAAATAAACCTTCAAATGACCTTCAATATTATATCCAGGATGACCGATCCATGGTCCGAACATCCTTTAAAACATTTGTAGAGGTCATCGAGGTGGATTTCTGTAGTCGATCTTCGCTATGACCTTGATATTGACCACAAGGTCAAAGTTGAAATCACATCTGGATGTAAAATTTTCTGTCAAATCGCATGCCCCATTTAAAATTATGGAGTTGACCTTCAATTGACCTTCAAGGTCATCGTTAAGGTCAAATTCAAGGTCAGCAATTTAACAACAAGTCATTTTTGGATCGGAGACTTCATTGACGAAATATTCACGTGTATTGACTAAAATGGAAGATGGAGTATATATAAAACATCACGTGTAAAATATCAGACCAGTACAATTTTATTAATTCTATTTTTTGTATCCCAATCTTCAACGCTTCGCTCTTACCGCTATTGTCGTACTGAAGTTATTGCTCCATATGAGAATTAGCTGATATTGGTGTGCCCTTAAAATATGTATCTGTTGGGTTATTTCAATACCTAGTTCCACTACTGCATACTATTGAGATTAAGATGTAAATATGTGAACAGTACCTATGTTTTACTCCTAGCGAATGTTGTCATATAATCAAATCACATACTACATGGTGTACAAAAAAATATACGTATATGTGCATGATAATAATATGTCCGCAAACTTCCCACATGTACATCATTATATGATATTAGTCTAATGATACCCATAGGCGACGTATTCATGAAAGCCTCTTACGTATGTAATTTTCGTTTTACTCTTTTTATTTCTTTTTGTATATTATTCATATGGGCTGTTTTTAAGAGGTCGATATACGATCATAAAACGCTGAAAAAAATGGGTAGGTAATTTATCGTAATCATTCTGTAATGAAATTCAGGAAGTAGTATTTTCAATTTTTTTATTAATTTGTTTGAGTGAGCAGATGTTTATTCAAAGTGGAAATTAATTTTTCTGTTTTCTTGTGCTTTATTTAGTAGATAAAGAAGTCAAGGGCAGGATAGAGGAAGAATATATTTCTCACTTTGTCCAATATACAGGATGATTCAGTCATAATGTCATTAATTTTAACCACATATTCAGAAGGCTTAATAGAGACGGAAAATCGTAAAAAAAATTTACTCCATCTTTTGGAAAATAAGAAAATTACCCCTGAACTTCCGTTAATTCGGCGCCCTACTTCGCCTCATATTTTCTGACCGGGAATACACCGACGGACTACAGAGCGTTCGAACATTGAAGCGAAACAGCTAATTTTCCCAGTCGTGTAGAATTTTGCAATTGGTTTCAAAATTAAAGAACAGCGGACACCAAGTGGACGAATGAGTGTTTTTTTAGTCGTACTGGCATTTTAAATAGGTAGGTACTGTACTACTCGTTGAAAAGTAATAAGTTACTAGGTATACGTACTACAAACTGAATAATTAATAAAATGTAATACTGAAAACTCATATTCAATTATAAAAAACCTAATATTCGAAAACAAATATTATCGTTATTTGTTTTTATCAACAAATAAATAATACTTATTACTATTTAAAATGTAAAACAAATTCTTATTCATTCATGTGTTTAGGTAAAAAGATTTGTTTTTTTGCCTTATTGTTCATTACGGATTAAAAATGTAGTAAAAGCTAGGTTAGTGACCGAATAATACGGTAGATCAAGATTGACTCTCGATAAACCTTCGTGGGTCAGCGGTCAGGAGCGGTCCAAAAAGGGGTTTAAATAATGATTTGAAAATATTTTTTTTCAGCGGAAATATGCATTTAATTTTTTTTATCACGTATTCATATTCTACTCATTTTTCCCCATCTTACCTTAAAATTAATGCCATTAAACTGAATCACTCTGAATACTCCGAGATATGTAGCTACCTACACATGATGCGTTATACACCAAGACCTTGAACCATACCGTTCTTGCAGCTCATTTTGTAACTGATATTAATATTATGCTTCCTTAAAAGACGACCTATGTTCTTACGTATAGGCAAAACAGGTTGATGTAAGTTTTCCTCTGTATTGTGTCCTACTGATGATTTGTAGAATATTTATGCTGTATAACCATTTTCTTTTAAAACTGGTTGTAGATGTCGTGTCTCGCCCTAGTGCTTTGACTTGTGGTTCATGTTTGATATTCTAAAGTATTTACTATCCCTTGTTGCTGGTGGTGAGACTTAGCGTTCAGGTATTTATGAATGTGGATTAGCTTTCTATAAACACTGTGACTTAGGCCATCATATAATTTCTTGTCAGGGACATCTAGAAAATTAAAGTGTCACTACGTGGTGAAATTCATTAATGTCGTCAACAGCAATAAGTTTGAATCGACAATGTGGCAATCAGCCCGGAAATTCTGCAATCAGTTCAATATGAGTCCAAGAAGTAATCCAATAAACATCAATAGATTCGCTTCAGCGCAAGTAGCAATTTTAATTTTATTTTCTCAGAAAGGATTTGGTATCATGCCCTTTGCCTAGTACTGAATCTGGAAACAGGAGTAATAGCACAGCCAATAGAGAAATGCAACCAGTTTATCTTAAGTGAAGCTTTAACTGCGCATGTCAGAGATGCTGTAGGCAAGTCAAGGTTGATAATTTGCAAGTGGCTCTGGTAAACCAGAAGATTACAATCTGTATTCTGAGGTTACACTTCTCATTGTTCTTGTAGGGATGTGCGTAACGACAATTGGGAATCTGCCACGGTGCTGCAAAATATGGCTTGGAAGTATGCGATTGCGGACAACGGCGAGAAACTTAGTCATTTGATCAGCGGTTTGTATCTTCTCGAAGGCTTGATCATCTACATGGTAAACAAGATGGACATGAAGAACTTGAGGGCGTCCACCAGGGCTGATCAGTTCATTTGTACATTATTCCGCAAATTGAAGAAAACGTTGAAGAATTGTCCACTGCTGCAGCCCAGGTAAAAACGTTGATTAAAAAAATACTTTTGGGAGGATGTAGTATCTTATTATGGTTAGTATATAATATATTAGTATATAGTAGATAAATAGGGTGTTTTATAACAAATTGTATATGTTATAACTGCAGAGTGGGGTAGTCTTGGCGAGTAAACAGTGTGTCCCCAGATGGGGTATCGCACTCTTATAAACTTTTTTATTGTTGATTTTTCGAGAAAAAATGTCCTTGATAAAAAGTTTTGCTTATCTTGGGAAGCTATGAGCGGTAATCAAATATGTAATAAAACACACAGGGCGTCCAAAAAATTTCAAAATGTGAACTTTTCCCTATGCAAAGTGCCTTTAATTTTTAATTTCGTTAAAAACTGCATTTAATAACGTTGATTGAGAACTCAAGAAATGCTTAAATACGGGGTTTAGTCAGTAATACATTGCCGGCATCTTCTTCATCAGTTTTTATCAATTTCTCCTGTCCAGAATCTCTAGATAAAAAACAATTAGATTTCAAATTATCAAGGTGATTCAAAGGCGAAATGAATAAAGGAAAGAAAAACGCAAGATATAAATTTATAGCTGAAATTTTTAATTAACGCTTGACCTTTGTTGTGATGAATAAAAAAATGTCAAGATGATTTTAAGAGAAATATATCATTAAAAGAGCTTTCAAATCGTACCGATTGATAGAGTTTTCAAGTACTTCTGGAATAACAACTGACTATCAATTATTATCTAGTATCAATTACCAGTGACTAATTATTCTCTTTATAATTAAGTTGTAGTTGTTTTACCTAAGTAAAGAATATTTTGCTGATATCAAGCAAGAGATGTAGATTTAGTTTCTTAAGCGTAGTCACAACAAACTAAAAATAGCCATGCATTTCAGAGTATATCACATGAAAGCTTATTATACGATGGCAAAGTACAACAACTTCAAAGGAGCATTTAAATATTTGAGAAAAGCTCATAGTCTAGCCGAGAAACAGCATAATGATCTGGAAGTGTCCTGGATCCAGCACAGTGAACAGGTATAAATTTTAAAACTTTCTATAATACTGAATTAACAAAATAAATAATTATATTTGATATTGCGGGCATAATTCAATGCTGGTAGTATGCAGAATAGTTGCTTCCCGCAATATCGTAACTGTAAAAATTGTTTCACCCAGTGTGGTTTGCTTGGGTACACAAATAAAAAAAATTTAGTGCACTTTTTTACAGAGTATGATATCCTCGTCTACATTTTGATCCGTTGAAGACGATGGAGCTATCAGAAATGCTAGTTTCGTATTCTACGGGAAAAATATGTAAATTTTGTTCGAAACATTTTTCTAGAAAAGACTTCCTGTAATAAAAATATGGGTTTATTAAAAATCAAGGTTGATCTTGAAATGACCTTGATAACTGACTATAGTCTGTTTAGAAATGAAAGAGAGTAATAAAAGCTTATTATGTATGCAAATCGTAAATAAATGTAGTACTGGTGCTTATATTCAATATTTTTATATTATGTATTATCGGTATAGATGAGGTGTACTTTTAAAAAAACTTTGTGCGATCGGACTGTACTAAATTGTAGCAGGTAGCTAAAATTTAATCCCCGACAATCCGTCTTTGTCTATGCCGCTTCAATTTCTCGGTCCATTTCTCTTATAAGTAAACAATATAAAAACAGCATTTCAAAACATGAGGCTACTTTAAGCATCATAACCGGGTTAAGAGGGTTTTTAGTAATTCAAATAAAATTATTCAATATTATTATCAAAATATTTATTTAAATTTAATGAATAGACTTTTATTCCACACAAAAATATATGTATTTTGAAAATTCAAATTATGGTGAGTAAATGTAGTGTTGTATAAATGTACAATAAAGAAAATAAAAAAGTAGGTATATTAAAATTCATCCTCTGAATATTCTGATGAATTATCTTCGTCTCCTAGATTGATAACGATAGGTTCCACAGTAACGTCAATTAAATTATCGAGTTCCCACATTTTCTCCTCTTCTTTTTGTACATGATGTATACATCTTTGCCAGTTATCTGCAGTTACTCGTTCCAAGGAATTTTTTAACAAAATTTTCACGTCACTTAATTTAAACGTCGTATTATTTCGCGCTACATCTCCTTTTACCTGCGCCCAGACTAATTCGATTGGGTTAAGTTCACAGTGATAAGGTGGTAACCGTAGTACCGTTATTTGGCGATTTGTTGCCATTTCATCGATAACATTAGTGTTACCCGATAATTAATTACCTGAAACGAAATATTACCACGCCCATGGCCGGTTCTTATCTCGGGGTTTTATTACTCTCTTTCATTTCCAAACAGACTATAAGGTTAATTTCAAGGTCACGGTAATTTGATTCCCCCGAAAACTGACAAGTTTTGTTGTAAATATTTTTCACCATCGTGCTTAATTTCTTGAGGTATTAGCCTGAGAATTAAAATGGAACGGTAAAAGTATAGCGTACTCTGACGAGAGAACGATGTATTTTGAAAAAAAAGTTTCATGCAAAAGTTACGTATTTTTTCCCAATCTGCAATAAAAAAATATGGGTTTCCATTTAAAAAATCAAGGTTAACCCTGAACTGTCCTTGATAATTGACTTCAAGGTCACCATAATTTGATCCGCTCGAAGCCTGATAACTTTTGTTCGAAATATCTTTTTATAAAGTCGAATTAAAAAAATTATGCGGCCTGGTACATTAGAATGGGACACCTTGTATATTATACTGGGTGGGCCATAAATGTTATATAATAGAAACCTGTTTAGGTGGATTACCGCTACATTTTAAAAATATTTTGAAATATACTGGGTGTCCAGGAAAAGCGTTTTGTATTTTTAAATGAAACACCCTGTATTTTACTGCATTTTTGAAAGCACCATAAAAAAATAAGTGAACTTGATTAAAGGTTCTGCATACCTAGGACTTACTAGCAATAAAAAAATAATTTTAAGGTAGCATTTTTGGAGAGTATTTTAAATCCTTGAAGTTACAAATGATTATATTTGTTGCCACTTAGTATTATACAGGGTGTTCAAAAAACTGCTGGATACTTTTCTCAACTTTAAACAGCAATAACTTGGTTATTTTAAATGGGACACCCAGTGTATTTTTAGTTTGGTAGTTAGGAACTTTAAAACTCTTTCAAAATGTGTTCAGGTTCCCTATACATATCTCTAACGGTATTGGAGATATTTCTGCCGTTCCGTTTTTTATCGAATTTTTTTGTAAGATGTATTCACGTGTCTTTATCGAGGTCTTTATTGAATTGAACACAAGTTGAACACTGTGTGCAAGATTTCTTATATAGCCCGAAACAAAGAAGTCCATTACGGTGAGGTCTGGATATCTAGGTGGCAACTGACATGCTCCATTCTTACTTATCCATTTATTACAAAATTTTCGATTTAAATAATTTCTAACTGAATATGAAAAATTTGAAGGTGTGCTATTTAATTGCATCCTCATTTTTCTACTTATATTTAAAGAGACGTCAAGATGAATCCAAACCAATTCAATAAAAACCTCGATGAAGAGACGTGGATACATCTTACAAAAAAATTCGATAAAAAACGGAACGGCACAAATATCTCCAATACCGTTAGAGATAAGTATAGGGAACCTATATACAATTTGAAAGAGTGTTAAATTTCCTAACTTCCAAACTAAAATATACTGGGTGTCCCATTTAAAATAACCAAGTCATTGCTATTTAAAGTTGAGAGAAGTATTTGAACACCCTGTACAATACTAAGTGACGACAAATATAATAATTTATAATTTCAAGGATCTAAAATACACTCTCCGAAGCTGCTTCCTTAATTTTTTTTATTTCTAATATTAAATTTCTACGCAAAGCCTGCATTTTCACGTGACATGGATTTAAAATATGCCCTTGTAGTTATATTTATTTGCACTAGATTTACATTTACGTTATTATTATTATTATGTCCTTTAATGAACTTTAGGCGTGGATAAACAAGCTTTCCCAAGAAGCAAAGTTTGCCTGGCGGGAGCATTGCGATGCAGGCGTATGCATTCAATTTAACGATGCTGATTTGGTGGATAAAGTGTTACCGTATTCATTACCTCTACCTATATACATATAATTTTATTTTATTGTACAAAGTGTTTAAGTATATTTATTTGTAATATACCCATAAAAAGATGTCATATATGTAACTTAGAAATATTTGATGTTTAATATAAACTGTTATTCGCTTTCTGTTTTATTGCAAACTCGCAAGTGTTTTATTCCTGAACATGATCAGTTACCTCAGTAATAGACCGGGAGATACTAGATTAGCTTGTAGACAGTCCGGTCTGCCGAGGATGTGAATCGGCGGATGAAACTTCTCTGCATATCCTGGGCGAGTGCCCGGGATTTGCACGTAGCAGAATGGCGCTCCTTGGGAGACCCTATTTGGAACCCAAGGAGCTGAGAGAAGTGTCAGCAAGGAAGCTTTTGGACTTTGTAAAAAGGACAAATCTACTTGCTGAATAGGACTAGTAGTGGGACGCACAATAGGCCTAATTAGGCCGCAGTGCTATGGGACTTTTAAAGGACCAACCACTAGATGA